TCTGGTACCTGTAGTCACACACTTGCGCAGGTGAATGGATTGCAGTGGTGCGTTTTGTTCTCGTGCCTAAAGAGATCGTCGTGTCGGTCGTTCAAGCTTCAAGCCCCCTCGCGTTATAGCAGCCTCGTAGCCCTCTATATCGCAGCAGGAACGACGCAAAACTCCAAGTGCGATCCAAGAAAAATTGAGATGACGACGACTGAAGACGCAGCGTTCGCTCAAGGTATGTTCGTCACCCTCTGGCCCAAGATAGAGCGTTGCCACAACTACGTCGAGCTACTGCTAGCCGCCCAAGAGAAGCTCCAGCATACGGTGGACAAACTTATCGCCGGTAGGGGAGACATTCTATCCTAGACTGTGGGTTTGGGGAGATCTAAGTGGTTAGCGATCATTGTTGCAGGCCTCCAAGAAGCGGAGAAGGCTGAGGGCAGCTCCCTTGTGAGCTACGCGGACCGACTTCGCAACTTTCCCGCGAGAGTCGAGAGACTACAGAAGAAGCTGGCGAGGATCCAGGGCCGCCTCCTGGCCATGAAGGAGTCGCCAGGAACGTCTAAGACCAAGTTCTCGGAGGAGGAGATGGCGGTCTACGCGTCCCCATTGTTCTAAGAGAATGCATTGAGAACGCTGGGAAAATTGCGTTCGGACTACTAGCTATGTGGACCTCAAGTTGGACCATGATCCACCACTATGGCCATCGTGAATGCTCCACAACGTGAAAGATACTCTGGAAAAAAACATCTCGTCGATACGTATATATCTAATGAAATGGGTATTTATGTTATAGCAAGCAGCCCATGCTTGACATTGCCGCTGTGCTACACTCCGATCTAAAGCTCCAAAAACCTCATCACATCTTTTCCCGAGCTTCTGCTTCTTTGGCTTTCCTCTGCATCGCCAGCGTCTTATCTGTATTCCACGAGCTGCATCAGGCGCAAAATACAACAGAGTTCAGCCACATCTGCTACTGATATCTTCTACATCACCTTGATACGACGCACCTCCGGTCTTCTGTCGAAATGTTGGGTCGACGGAGCTGCGGCGGTGCGAATGGAGCAATTTTGGGCTTGCGAGCAGCTTCTCCAGCGCCTGTTTTCACTGCTTTAGTTGCTGGTCTAGACACCTGCTCGTTCTTCCGTTTGTGTGTCGTTGCAGACGCTACTGACACACTACTGGTGGTCAATACACCGCTAATGTCACTAGAGAACAACTCGTCTGCTGATGGCAGTATCTGCGCCTTGGCAGATCTTGCTGCTGGGGAGGGTACTATAGTATGTGGGCATGAAGTGGGTGAAGTTTCCTCGTCCGAAGATGAGGAGGAGGACGCATAGTCGTCGCCGAGAAGGAACGATGCCATCGCTGCTCCAGTGCACTAGAACGTAATCGTCACAGTTTACTTTTTTCTTGTACAGACGATCCCCTCGGTAGTAATCCCTGGAAATGGAATACACCCTCAATAGCAATAGATTAGTTGACTGGCTATAATAACTACCGAGTGTAATTTACGTATAGTATACATCCTGAGTATACAACACTAAGAAACGGATTCTGATGGTCACAACAATTGAGAGAAACGCACACATCAGACAACTAAAGCAAGTAAAAGGATAGATATCACCGTTCTTGCTTTCCCTGCAGCGAAACATTTGCAGTCTTGTAGACCTTTATCGAGGTTCGCCAGTCAACGTTCTTGAGCTCTCCTCACAAATGCCGCGGTAAGAGCTTTTGCATCAACATGTAGAATTCATATTTCATATCATCAAATCAACGTGCTCCCTTTCTTTCCTCTTTTATTCGCGAGTCTGAACCACTAGACAAACCTCTTATTCTCATCTAGCTCTACACCAGTCTTTTTAGGAATTGCTATTGAAAATAGCGCCAACTTAATGTTACGTTATTTGCTTATCAGCACGAACGCTGTTTCCTTCTCCGTTGTGAGACTGTTGTGCAGTTTGGAGTACTGGACACCAGGGTAGTTACTTAGCATTTGAATGTGCGTCCAATCTTCCCGCTTGCGTACAAAACCGATAGGGGTCCATGTCGACTCGCTTGGGAACACGAATCCATGCCTGTGGTTTTAAGATTCGTGTGCGTAGCACGCGGGCTTAAACTCAGAAGCAAGCATGGCTGAATTCCACCCGATTCTATAGAGTTAATGTGCAGGACGGTCTGGTTTGGCCGGATGATAGAAGTTCTGGCTACATCTCCAATTTTGGCATTTTTTTTTT